CTCTCCTCCCCTTAACTCTTCCAATCGAAATGCTGCTCCCAGGCATGCCCCACACGAAGCACCTTAGCCTCCTGCCACAGCCCGCCGACAATCTGCATCCCCACCGGCAATTGAACCTCAGCGTTATCCCTAGCAGCCGCACGACCCACTGGAATCGACATAGCAGGATGGCCCGTGACATCGAAGATCGCCGTATTGATCGTGAGGCCCATACTAGGCCGGAGCGCCTCAACCGGCAGGGCGCGGGGGGAGCCATGGCGAGGGGCGACAATGGGCGTCGTCGGCATTACCACGACATCATACACCCCGAAGACCTCCTCGTAGCGGTCCCGCAGCCGTCGACCAATATTGACTGTCTTGCCGTAGAGATCGGGGAACTGGGAGGCGAGATACAGGCCGTTGATGATCACGTTCTTAGTGCTGGGGAACGCGCGCTGGAAGCCCTCGGGCGTCCAGGGGAGCCGCGCGCGCTCCAGCTCGGTCAGGTGCAGGCCGCGCCGGCCGTGCGCCTGGCCCAGCAGCGTCAGCGAGCCCGAGATCCGCTGCTGGATGGTCCAGATGGCCGGGCCGTGGTAGTGGTCCGGCACGGACACTTCCTCGACGACCGCGCCCAGCTCCGCGAACTTCTGAACGGCGTCCATCACGGCCCGCTGGACCGCGGGGTCGACGGTGGCGTGCTCGAAGCCTTCCTTCAGGTATCCCACGCGGACGCCGTCGAGTCGCCCCCCGGTTTCGTCTGTCTGTAGCGCTGCCGCGTACGTGGTCGAGCCGGGCTGCGGGCTGCCTAGGCATCGGTCGTCGATTCCGTCATAGCCGCTGATTGCGTCCAGACAAAAGGCGACATCCAGCGTGCTTCGAGCAATAGGACCGGCGTGGTCGTTGATCGCGTCTCCGCTGGCGATGCCGGTGTACGGAACAAGGCCGTATGTCGGTTTCAGTCCCACACCTGTTATCCAGATCAGCATACATGACAAAGAAGCTCAGGAACCTATCAAAATGCACGTACAGCCACAGAAAGACGAGGGCACACGAATACTGCCTCCCTGGTCCCCACCGATAGTGATATCAACCAGGCCGGCTGCAACCAGCGCCGCACCGCCCGAGGTACTACCACCCGCCGAGTAGCCCTCAGCAAAGGGGTTCTCGACGATCCCCTGCGCACTCGTGTACGACGAGGTCGAGTGACAATGATTCTCGCAGGTCGACGTCCCATGGATATCAGCCCCCGCAGCCAGAGCTCGGGTTACCACCGTGGCGTCTGTGACGGGGGTCCAGGAGGGGATGATATCGCTTCCAAGCAGCTGGGGCACGCCTGCGACCGCAATCGTGTCTTTCAGACTGATGGTCTTGCCGGCCAAGAGTCCTCCATCGGGGCTGCCTTTAATCAAAAACTTATGCGCCCATGCCTGGCCGAAGACCTGCTCTTCGGGGGAGGGTCGTCGAACGTTCTGTCGAGGGTATCGGTCGAGATCGGGGACGGGCTGGTAATCCGCAATGTTGGAGACTGTTTCTGCGCAGTCGTGCACGGCAGCCAGGAGCGTGTGGAAGTCGTCCTCCTCCTCTGGACTGACGGAAAGACCGAGTCTCTGGAGAAGCTGGTTCGCATCTTCCTTCTTGACTGGGTTATCACTGTTTGGTCTGTTTAGCAAGCGAAGTGTGGCGGTAGATGGTGGTTCGGTGATGTACGTACGGCGAGATGGAGGTGAATAGAACCGACATGGTGAGAAATGATTTCAACAACCTTTTTTGCAAGCAACACAGTCCAACGACAACTGATCAGAGCACCTCTTTACCCCTGCAGTCACGTTAAACGAGGAATATAATCCATTCGAGGCGGGGGTATCTGTGCAAGAAGCAGAAGATTGCTCCAACTGCCAAGCCACAGGGCCTTATCGCGGTTGGGGTAAGAGGACTCCAACCACTGCAGGATGCTGATAGACAATTGGCGCGAAACTGATCATTGTCGGCGAAAGCTTGACCCAACGATGACTTTCTCGTAGCTTGTACTGTACAGTAAGTACTAAAGTAGATGTGACATGTGTTCCTGTCGAGACATTCTGGGCCGGTCCGACCGTTGCTCACATGCTTCGGAAATCCATCTGTTGCGGAAGCTAAAGCTGAAGAGGCGTCAGACCTGATTTACCCAAACTGTTTGATCAGCTCAACCCCTTGAACATGCATACCAGCACTGATTCACAATGCTGCTATAACAGTACATTGATATCAAGCTCTACCCCAATTCCCTATCAATCACCTTGCATAATCGATACAGCAGGGATGTTACTTACTCCAATTTGATAACACTACTCCAACGGAGGAGATAGTGACCCGTTTGTTATCGCAACGTCCACCATTAGGTATGAGTGAAGCCATCAATCACTACCGGATCGGACAGGGCTATCGACAAGGATGATCAATTATTGCAAGACAAACCATGCCAGCCCTGCAGCTTCATGCAGCTTGATCCCGCACTCTTCATACCAGTATAAGAATGATCGACCCCCCGCATTGGAAGGGGCGTTCCCCCCTTGTCCTTGTTCACATCAGTTGAAATTCAACCATGATGATGACAAACGAGGCCAAAGACATTAAGATCTCACCAGCGATGCCTGGCGAAGACATTGCTGTCGCAGACAGCGAGCACATTAAGTCCAATAATGATGGGCTTGAAGAAGTCTTTCAACAAAGCGAAGGCCAAGTGGACTTCCGGACCGTGAGCTGGATACGGGCATCAGCCATCTTTCTGAAGAGTTCGTTACCCCTAAGCGAGAACAAACATCCATCAACATCCCTCACTAACCAATGGCTACCACGCAGTGCTCTTCGCGACCGGCATCCTCTCGATTCCCTCGGTCATGTACGACCTTGGCGCCCTCCCTGGGGCCCTCAACGTGCTCGGCTGGTGTGGTCTTAACACGTACGGCGCCCTCGTGCTGGGTGATTTCCGAGAACGCTACCCACAATGCCACACGGTTGCCGACATGGCGCAGCTGATGGGGGGTCCGATCTTCCGAGAAGTGGTCGGGTTCTTGTTCGTCATGACCTACGTGATCACAGCAGCCTCCGGGGTGATCGGGGTGTCGGCGGCCTTCAACGCGCTGTCGCTGCACTCGCTGTGCACTGTGTGGTTCTCGGTGATCGCCACCAGCATCATCGCTCTCTGCGCCAGTGTGCGGAAGTTCTCCCACATCGGGTGGTTGACCTGGGTTGGATTTTTCAGTATCCTCGCCGCAGTGTTCATCATCGTGTAGGTCCTTCCCTTTACTGTTGTCTTCCGACCGACATCTATTTATGCCACAACATCACTAACACACCCGAAAAAAAGCATTGGAGTGACCACCCTCGACCGCCCGTCAGCGGCCCCGCAAGAAGGCCCCTTCGACCTGGGCTACCACCTAGTCGGCCACCCGACCTTCGCCGCCGGCATAACGGCCTCATCGACCATCTTCGTCTCCTCATCGGCGACCTCGGCCTTCCTCCCCGTCATCGCGGAGATGCGCCCGCCCACCGCCCGGGCCTACAGGAAAGCCGTTGCTCTGTGCATGAGCTTCGTCACCGCCAGCTACCTGACCTTCAGCCTGGTGCTGTATCACTACTGCGGGAAATGGGTCGCCTCGCCGGCGCTGGGCAGCGCGGGTCCCGTCCTCAAGCGGGTGGCGTATGGCATCGCTCTTCCGGGTTTGCTGGTCAGCGGGGCGCTGTACGTCCACGTCGCGGCCAAGTATCTCTTTGTCCGGGTGCTACGCGGCTCTCCGCAGCGGAGACGGCATCTCCAGGCGAACACTCCTGTGCACTGGGGTACGTGGTTAGCGTGTGTCGTGGGCATGGCGGCCATAGCGTGGGTGCTGGCTAGTGCCATCCCGGTGTTCACGTATGTGTTGGCATTGGTCGGAGCGTTGGGGTTCGCGCCGTTGGCAATCAGTTTGCCCGGGATCTGTTGGTTGTATGTGAATGTTTATCATGGTCGAGCGGATCGGGGCGAGAAGCAGGAGCAATCGTGGTACAAGCGGTGGACGAGGGTGGTGTTGGTTGCAGTCCATGTTGGATTGGTGCTATTGGGACTGTTCATGATGACCGGGGGAACATATGGTGTTGTGATACAGATTCAGGAGGCGTATAGAGATGGAAGCGTGGATGGAGTGTTTTCATGCGCGGATAATAGTGGGACGGTGTCCTGAGCGTCTGTAATAGGTGTAAATCAGAGAATGTTCGGTCGCGGCTTTTGATCTCGCATGCATATGCTCAGTATTGGATACCGTGTATCTAACCTGGTAAGCCATAAACCGTGGAATATTGCATAGAAACACAATGGTTTGAAATGTCTCAAGCATCAGCGTCCATGTAGAAAGATATTCTCTCATTCCCACTGCATTAAAAATAGCTACAAAGAACGACGGCGCAACGCTGCATCAAGAAACTTCATACACGGTCATGAAAACGAAACCTTGTCCGATTACCCCCACAATTGACAGAAAACCGCCGGATTTGCATGTCTTGATTTTGAATCCTCATAACTTGGCACGTCGACGCCGTCGAATTGAGATGGACGGTGGTGCTATTGGTCTGCTTGCACTGGGTATCGCTCGAAAACACAACCGAACAGTTGGAGCCATTGGCGATTTGCACGATGTATCCCAATGCACCGCCGTTGAGAATAGCATCGTGACATGGCAGACTGGTGTTTCCAGAGAAGTATGTGGTCTGGCCGGTGCATCGTTTGTTTTGATATAGTGAGATCTGCCAGGCAGTGGTCGAATTGATTGTGGATCCTTTGAGAGATGGGAACGCGTAGGTGATATGGCAGAGGAAGCTGATTATGGTTGACCAGATTGCAAGCATTTCCTTCATTTCAGAGTCTGGGTTGTATACCCGGGGATTGTCGAAGATAGGGGATGTGGGGGGAGCTTATGGAGTTGAAGGGTGTTTTGCGTATGCAACGCTGCGGTGGATTCGAGGGGGGTGGATAGATGCTGGAAGGAAGGTAGCGCACGTCGGAGGGTGCAGCAATGTAGGTATTTCTCGCCGTGGCTATGCCGAGTGTTCGAGCAGCCTTGACTAATGGGGCAGCGATGGGTTTATGGCTCTTGTAATAGGTAGGTAAATGTGGTTCGAGGTTCATGTGATCGAAAAGCAAATGGGGCAAGGGGCGGGGTTAGTTGACCTCCTTACAATCGGAGGTGAGTAATTTTGGAAGGAACATGTGCGTCATGATGTCACCTGCTCCAGGAATATCTGCACACTTAATACTGTGATAGATACTACCTGTACCTACTTTCCCTTGCTCTTCGCTTTCATTCCAATGAACCAATGACTGGCATGGGCTAAATCTGCAGGTATTGCAGGATGTCTTGGTCGATATTGTCGACAGCAGTCTGGTATATGCCATCAACTGGCTGGGGGCCTAGACCAGCTGCACCATCAATCCCGAATGCCAGATCAACAGATGTGGCTGGGTCAACAGTGGGCTGTCCCGTTGGACCAAGGTCGTGAAAATCAACCACCTCGGAGTATCTATGGTTCATGTCAGTCGGTCCTAAGGTACGCCGCATATAACCTTTGAGCATACATCATGATCTTCCACTCATCGATGGAATGGACGGCCTCCTGGAATGACCAGTCAAACATCGTCTCTGCGACCGGTTCATCGTTAGGGTCGTGATAAACAGCTAGGTATGGATGTTCTAAAGCTTCTTCGGCGGATATGCGTTTGTCGGGATCGATCACGAGCATTTTGGAGAGCAAATCAACGGCTATCCACACCTCATTAGATCTCAGGTCCCCTGAATTTATCTACTAGTGTACTCACCTTGCGCATCGGCTCCGGGAAACAGGGATGCCCACACAGGAGGTTTGCGTTTGCCCAGTGACTGGACGATCTGCAAAGTCTGGCGGATGTTAGAGCTTGAGCCAAACCTTGATCAGTAGACTAGCTTACTGTCTTCGTGCTGATCCTCTGGATCACTTCATCCGGTGGGCTTCCCAACGCTTCCGTGATCAGGAAGAACTGGTTGATGTGGTCCTTGCCAGGGAATAAGGGCTTTCCACGCAGCATCTCAGCAACAATGCAGCCTGCACTCCAGATGTCGACCTGCTTGCCGTATCTCTGCCAAGTCAACATAATCTCCGGTGCTCTGTAGTATCTTGTGGACACATAGCCCGTCATCTGGGGTTCTTGCACTCGAGCTAGACCGAAGTCACAGATCTTCAAGTCGCAGTTCTCGTTAATCAGGAGATTACTGGGCTTGAGATCCCGGTGGATGACTCCGGCCGAATGAATGTATTTTAACCCCCGCTAGTTCTTATTAGCATGAGTAAGATGCAGCACAATCCGGGGATGTTTACCAGAAGCTGATACGTGAAGTACTGTACAAACTTGCCATCGAGGGGCTTGGAAGTGAGGAGTCGATTTAGATCGGTCCCCAGAAGCTCTGTGACAAGGTACCTGATTGTCCCTGTCAGTATCTCCACTCTGATCTGATGCCACGTGGTGATGTGAGTTTTTGGGGTCCCACTTACACATCCTCGGACGGGGAGATGAAGATATCACTCAGGCCAATGAGCTTGTGTGGCACGTTAGCATGCGGAAGCAAAGAAGGGGGACTTAACAGGTACGGAACACCAGCATACATTTTCATGACGTAAATGCTTGAGCAGCTTGACTTCCCGATACGTACGCTTAGCGATCGTGGGGTTCGAGAAGGGCTTCATCATCTTCTTGATGGCCACTGGTTGGCGGGCGATGAGATCGTTTGCGGAGCTGCGAGGTTTATTTTTGGGTCAGCCTATGTGCCCCATTCGTTTTCTTCTTACCAGAAGGATACTATAGGAATGTTTAGGAAAAGGGAAGCCAATACCAGACGAGCCCAAAGGCCCCAAGTCCGACCGGTTGAAGGTCCGCATATCTAAAGAAATCAAAAGTTTAGCTTTGCGGGGGGGGAGGTTCGTCCAACTACTAGGTACTACTACCAGGTTTCTAGAAAAACACCGGCGGGGATTCTTGCCTGTTTGTGGTTTCGAAGGTGGTTCCCAGGATCTGCGAGCGAATGAACTCGGCCATGACCGTGGGTTTGGTAGATCCGATCGGGGTATGTAGTATGTGTACTGCAGTAGTACTGTACGGATGGAAACGACAATGATAGGGATGATGACGATAATGAGATTTGAGGATGGATGGATACTGGAATACTGAGGTTGTTGATGATGATGCAAATACAGCGCAATGAACGCAGAATAGTGTCAGTGGCGAGGTTCAAGGGGGAAGAGGTTTTATCGTCAGGGCAGTTGTATGACAGCTTGCCAAAGGTGCATCTCGATCGGCCGCTAGTGTTAAGGGAGTGCCTCGGCCTGTGCAGTCACGTCTGTGGCGCTCGCGAGGGGCTGCTTAGACGCTTCCGGACTCTTCCATTGGCGCTCCAGGCTGGAAAAAGAAGTGGTGGAAACAAAGATGAGATTTGATCAGCGATTGGCGGGATGAGTTACCAGCCAGCCAGCAAGGATGCAGGAAGGTGTTTTGTGGTGTTGTACGAATAAAGTCGGATGTTGGAGGAAGGGGAGGAAATGAGGAGAGAGAGAGAGAGGGAGGGAGGATGGAGGATGGAGGGGGTGAATGAATTAGTAGATACAGTACTGTGGTAGTAAGCATCAGCAGTTCCCTCTCCCCAATAATTGAGTACTGTAACTAGACTACTCCGTAAACAGTCGAGAGTGCGACCCATGGTCTCATCTCCGTCTTTCTCCACCCCACCCGGTAGCCCGGGGGTATCTCCAGCACCTTAAGAATTATGGATCTCTCAGGGGCGCATTACTCGTTGGAAGTATTTTCCTATTTTCCTACATCATTCTTGAGGATGAACTGACCCAGTGCATGCAGCGATTTGAGGGGCAGATATGTACAGTACAGACATACAGATACATACCAAGTACAGACGGTACATACTCGACAGCTCGCATCGAGCGTTCCAGAACATGGGCCCCTGGTCGACAACAATCAAGGCAAAGGAGAGTTGGAAGTGTCGAGAAGAGCAGAGAAACCGGACTGTGCCTGTCAATCGCAGTTTAGCCGCGGGAGAAATACTCGAAATACTCCCCACGAGCCAATAGCCGTGCTGCTGCAGATGTGCTCTGACATCATCGATGGATCAGCCTGGTTTAAGGTGGTGTTGATCTTTGCCTTTATTGTCACATTCACAATCTATGGACTTGAAGACTAATGACTTCGGTCGTATCCTCGGTGTAGGGAGTAGAGAAGTGAGACCTATGCAATGAGATAGACCCTCTCCTGCAAGGCTGGTAATTATCCCATCGGCTATGGAATTCTAATCTCAATCATCGTACAGGTCAAGAAGTGACACCGACATCCGTCGGGGAGTCGCCTTCAACCCCTTCTCTCCTGCTTGGTCCTTACCGCGGCTCCCTCCTAGCTCCTCATCCATCAACATAAGATCTTCCATCGCGGTGTACATATCTGGATCCGGCGAAGTCGACATCTCACTGACTCGAGCCGCATCGTGTTCTTTGACTCCTCCGCTAGCATAGGCTTGGTAGGCGCGGATGCCTTCGGGGCGGGGATCCGCTTTCGGTTCCACCGGGACATTCAGCTCCGCCGCCGCCGCCGCTGCGTAGCTCGTCTCCAGGTTTACTTGACAACCTTTACACGAACATGAGTGTTGAGACGAGCAAATTGACCGATACTTGTGTCCGCATTCCCATCTCTTGTTGCAGACGCTTTCGCACACAACTCGCGAGTGTGGGAAGCTATGGCATTTCAGGCTGCATAAATGGTCGCAGTCGAGCTTCTCGCCGCACTTTTTATAGCATCCTCCATTTATGTAGTCCCACTCGGAGGGGCCTGAGTGAAGACCAAGAACCGTTAGCAACGAATTGATCTCAAGTTAGGAGGAGGAACCCACTTTTCATGAACGTCCTCTCTTTATGCTTCACGCAGGTCAGGGGCAGCTCCACCCCAACTCGCTGGGGCTTCATGATGGACACAACACGGCTCCACAAGTCGCTATTGACCGCAGCAAAATTTGCATTTCCGAAAATATAGAATCCGCATCTGGCACGCGACAAGGCAACGCAGACACGGTTCTCGATGGACAAGAACCCGATATTGTCACCACCGCTACGGACCATGGAGAGAATGACAATCTCGTTCTCCTCACCTTGATAGGAATCCACAGTGACGACCTTCAGGTACAGGCCTTGAAGGTAAGGATGTCTTTTCATAAGGCTCAGCAGATGCTTTCTCTGTCCATTGTAGAATGTCAAAATGGTGATCTCGTGGACAGGCACACCGTTCTGTATCAAATAAACAAAGAACCCCACGATCATCTGTGCTTCGGTCTCATTGAATTTTGATGCAAAGCTGTCTCGAGTCTCCGGCCAGTTATGAGTGAAGAAGTAAGACTGGCGGTCCCCCATACCAACCACTTTGGGGCGTTGAAGCACCGATCTATGGTCCTCGAGGGTGCCGTAGATGGGCTCTAGCAATTGCCGTACCTCAGGGGGCATTCGTCTCTGCCATCGCAAGGTGACGTACTCCATGTTGTTATTCACTAGCCGTTCGAACATCGAAATATCGAGGTAGAAGGGATCCCCTTCCAGGTCTTGCACAGTGCAATTTCCTCGCAGTTGCTGATGATCGCCGACGAGTATCAGGTGCTGAAGAGAATCGAAACATGCAGCCGCGATTGGGGCTTCAATTGCTTCAGCAGCCTCCTCAATCAGCACGATCCTGGGTTTGAGACTCGAAACGAGACCCCTGTACTTGCTCAAGCCGGTAGCAGTCATGCCGATGACTTTTGCGCTTCGAAGGATTGCATGATCTAGCTCCCACCGACCAGCTTGTATCCACTTGCAATTCTTCTGGTACTTTGAAGCGAGCTCACGGAGCCGTTTGGTGATTTTATCTTTGAGCAGCTGCCGCATTGAGTCGTATATGTGTCCTCGTGCTTCTGGCTTGACCTTCCACAAATCCGCGAACTTGGTATGGTTCGATGGTAACGCACTGGGGTAAGAATGGCTCCGCCCACACATACTGTCAAGAATGTAGAGAAAGCGGCCTTTCAGGTACTCAAAACCGTCATCTTCGAGCCCTTGCTCCGCTTCAAGCTCCTTCAACTGTTCGTATTCGAGGTCAATCTCATCTTCTTCGAACCCGAAATTGTCCTCTGCATATTTCACCTGGAAAGGCACTGCTTCTTCCCCTAGCCAAGTGACTAGAGGATCGATGTTGCCTTCTTTGTCCGAACTAATCCAGTCCTCTGATCCCTTTGTTAGCGAGCTTAGCTGGGTCTCAGTAAGCACGCCGTACTGGACGAAGAACTCCGACGATAGCGGCACACCCGCGCGTTCGGCCCCGAATGGCTCTAAGAGCTCGGCTATCTCTTTGGTAAGCCTTCTGTAGTCGAGATTGGCTGCTGTCCCGACACCGCCACTGACTACAGCCATCTCATTTGCTCGAATAGCGAAGAGAGTGCGCAGTTTAACGCCGGGATCCGAGCTGCGCGCGCCCAGACGGATATACTTCTCCTCAAACAGCGAGACCAGCCTGAGCAGCTGATCTAAGGCATGATTTGTCTGAGAGGCAAGGATTATAGGCGGCTCATTGGGTTTCATGTTGGAGAGTAAGATCTTCAACGCAAGAACCGACACATATGTTTTGCCAGTCCCCGGGGGACCTTGGACAATGGACAGTCGTTTGGTCAGCATGTTATGGAGGGCTTCCCATTGGGTTGCATCACGATCCCCGATTGGCACCGATGGCCATCCTGCAAGCAGGTCAATTCGACTGTCTTCCTCGCAGTTCGCGAGAATTGCCTGGAGATCAACGCGAGGGCTGCATTTCACATATTCGGGTGGCTCGATCTGAGGGTCAAGTCGGCATATGTGGTTAGATAGAGGGAAACTGCATATCATAGTTAAATACCGGACATGAGACGAAAGAATACAAGGTTACTTACCTTTCCTGGTCAATCTTCTGCAAAGCTGTCATCGTGTGTCTAACCGACTCAAAGTACCCATCCTTTGCCTCGACCATAAGCCACTCTTTCTGGGGGTCGAACTCGATATCCTCAGGCTTCGCGAAGAAGATGTCTATCTGCGGAGGCTTCATCTTCACACTCTCCAGCGCCCTGCTCGCCACCACAGCGACGACACATTGCGTCCGAAAGACATCGTCTGCGGGGGAGAGCGCGAGAAGGGATCCAGTGATCAGACGCTTTGAGTACTCCCAAGCGATATTCTTCCCGGCTCGATGTGTTGAGAACTGAATCCGAAATCCCAGTCCCTTCGGGGAGCAAGTGACGCCGATAATGTAAACCTGAACGGTCGTAGACGTAAGCCAGGCTCCAGAAACCCAGACACGCAGCGCTGGCTCACGGGATCAGACATACCTTCTCGTAGATCGATGCGACTTTGTTCTCCATCATGCCCGGATGTTCGCGCACATGTGCTACGGCATCCCGCAGCGGAGCAACGGCATCCTCTCGCAGCAGCTCATAGTGGGCTTTGAGATACGCGTGCTCCGACTCCCACGGACCGAAGATGTTGTTTGGGGCGAGGTCCACGAAGTTCGCGTCGTCTTCCTCCTCCGCGATGCCCATGATCTCCGCTGAAGAAGGCAGCTCTGGGCGGTTCAGCCATGTCTCCGAGTTTTCGGGTCTGGAAGGGAAGAGATAGTTTCTGATCTCGGCACAGGCATGGTTCTTCTTTTCTGAAGGAACCTCTGTCGGCTCGGGGAGCTTGCTTGTGTGCAAGAAAAGCCCTCGTTTCTGTTTCTTGTGCTTCATTTTGTGGGTTGTTTGTCGAAAGAGGGGATGACTTAGGGAAGACTCGTGTCGACTGGCTCTGTTGAGGGTGGTAACAAAGAGGGTGCTAGCAATTGGGTGTTAGGCCTCCGGACAATCTGAGGGTAATAGGTTGGCTTGGTTGGCAGGTTCAAGATCATAAGTCTGTGTTCTGCTGGGAATAGTTCTGGGCTTTGTCAAGGAAGTGATTCTGTAGTGAGAGAAATGACTGATAGTGTACTTTTCCAGAATAGCAAGGAAACAGTTTTATGGTGTGTGTTGCGTAGTTCTTAACAACCAAAACAATTGCGTTCTAGGGAGAGAACAAGGACTTCTGACCCATGTAGTTCGTGTGCAAGCCTAAGAGAAAAAGCTAAGCTGCCCTCAATTTGAGCCGGTGCAATCTTAACTGAAGAATTTCCGTTCACTGTAAAGCCAGAAGCAAGCAAGAAAATGATTCTGGCTTCCAGAGGTGCAGTTTCTCAGTAACTTGTTCAGTAAAAGAGTCTAGCCTGATTCACACTAATGGAATCCAAATAGTCTTTGCCCTACAGCTCTATGATTTCCTTCACTTTCTTTTCTTATATGGGGAGCAATTTTCACTTTAAGGTGGTTGTAATCACCACACCTAGGCATAATTTACATATTTCCCAAGCAGTTTGTTTGTCTTTCACACAAAGCATTGACTGAACAGCTCTTAAGCTCTGACTAATCGATTTAGACAAACTGCAGCCCTGGTTAGCCAGTCACACCAAAAGGATAGCTAGATCGTTGTTCGTTTGTAGAAACAACAATGCCGGCAAACAGATAGCCCCAACAAAGATCTAGGCCTTGGGTGTATGGAGGCATAAAAGCGTGCCACATGGCATTGCTTTGCAAGTCGGGCCACAGCAATTTTCTCAGACAAATGTCTCATCCCCCTAACTCCACAGAGATAAGCAGGACATAAAGAAGCTGCTGCCAGCAAACAACCACAACTTTCATCATGGATCCATCGTCGAAGTATACCCTGTCGAAAAGTGTTAATCCGGGGAAAGATTCCGCTAACCGTATTCGGCACGCCTTCGCAGCCTCCATACTCAGGCACCAACTAGGCGGTCAGCCATGCTCGCCCCGGGGGGAAAGGTACAGCCATGAGCCATCACCAACCGATCGCAATCTTCAGCCTATATCGCAGCACTTTATATTTGGGGGCGTCAATGGAGGTGCTGATACAATTCGATCTATAATACCGAGAAATGTGCTCTTGAAGACCATTATATACCTGCAACATTCACCGAAACTAGAACAGTACAATGCGCGCATGGCATGCGACTCCAATAACCCCGATTCATTGACCTCTTATTGAAGCCCCCACCCTACGCCCCGACAAGGGTTCTAGCAACCCCAGCCGTGCATACATCCTATACTACTGGCAAATACACACTCGCGCTGCCGCTCACTCTCTTTTCTTCACGTATAGCTATAATCTCCGGCTTCCAGTAGCAAAATGGCCTCCCTCGCAGAAGATGACGACGATCGCGATCTTGCCGGTAAGGACCTCCCCCCCACCTCCCATGATTTCTTCCAGCAGCATTTGACCAACACATTCCCGCGGCAATAGGCTCCCAAGACGGCAGCTCCGACAATGAGATGGACGATACGCTCCGAGACGCAGACGACGGGGTGAACGACAACGAACCGGACGCCGACGCCGAAGACGCCGACCCCGATGCGGAAAGCCAGTCCAACGTGTCCGAGAGCGCGGGGATCGCGACGCAACAGAATCAGGACGTGGAGATGACGTCGCCGGGGGCTGCGAACGTCGCGTCTCCGGTCTCGGTATACCACCCGCCGGTGCGACCGGAGTGCCTCACGGCCTCGACGTTCGACATCGTGCCCACGACGGCGGCCCCGCACAGCACCTCGATCAACGCGGTCACGGCCACGGCGGATATGCGATGGGTGTTCAGCGGGGGCTCGGACGGATACGTGCGGAAGTTCAACTGGGTGGACTCGATCAACAGCAAGCTGATGCTCACGGTCGCGCAGCGGCACCCGTTCGTGGACAGCGTGATCAAGGCCGGCGTGCTGATGACCTACTGGGAGAACATGGACGGGAACACGATCTCGCCGGTCTACTCGCTCGCGAGCCACAGCGAGGGGTTGTGGCTGCTGTCCGGTCAGGAGTCGGGCAACATCCGCCTGCAGTCCGTCCGCCACGAGGAGGGCAAGGAGATCGCTCTCCTGCAGCAGCACACCTCGGCAGTCTCGGTGCTGACCCTGACCTCCGACGAGAAGTCCCTGCTGTCGGGCAGCTGGGACAAGCGGATCTTCGACTGGGATCTGAACACCGGGCAGACGCGCCGCGCGTTCGGGGCGAGCGCCGGGCAGGTTTCCGCGATCGAGATGCGCCCGGAGTCCAGCCTCCCTGTGCCGAAGGATGTCGTCGAGCCGCCGCAGCCGAACGGCACGTACTCGTCGAACTACCAAGCGGCAGCGGGGGAGAATAGCTTCGGATTCATGGACACCTCCAACGACCAAGGCGACAGTGGTGCTGGCCCGGACCCGCAGGCGGGCTCGCCAGCGGACTCGCTCTTTGGCGGCGCCGACTCTCTGTTCGGCGACGGCGACGGGCCCGGCGGAGACGAGGCGGGCGGATCAGGCAACGCATTCGGCATTGACGAAGATGACGAGTTTGGCAAAGCACTCACGAACGGAGTGCCTCCGGAGGCCGATGCCCCCGGCGAGCCGGAGACGAGCCACAACGAGGCGGCAGAAGCAGCACAACCACCACCATCACCACCACCCCCAGCGCCCGCAGATGCCGTTACCGCGCCCCCCGACCCGAACGCCATGGACCAGGCGCCGGATACGACCGAACCAGCCCAGCCCGACGGCGCTCCCCCGCCCGTCGTCAACGGCCTGCCCCACGCGGAGGAGATCGAACCGACCGCGCAGAGCACTGCCTTCAGCGAACCGGCACAGCCCGAACACACGCCCAGCAACGACAACACCTTCCTGGGGGCGTCGATGGACGGCACGATCCGCATCTGGGATCGACGGCAGCCCGACCCGGTGGCGCGGATCATCCCGCGCAGTGCTCCTCCATGGTGTATGAACGCGTGCTGGTCCCCGGACGGGAACTACATCTACGCGGGCCGGCGGAATGGGACGGTGGAGGAGTACAGTCTCCACAAGGGGCTGCGGGATCCGGAGCGGACGTTCAAGTTCCCTCATGGGAGTGGGCCGGTGACGGCGCTGAGGGCGATGCCCAATGGCCGGCATATTGTCTGGTAGGTTTGGTCGGTTGATGTGCAGACTGGTTACGCTGACTGATATGGTGTAGTGCATCGCATGATATTCTTCGACTTTACGACCTGAAGCATGAGCAGGTGACTCGACACTCGACGGTGCCGTTCCTCATCATCCCGGGGCATCGGACGGGCACGGTGTCGCAGCTGTATATCGACCAGGCGTGTCGGTTTATGGTGTCGACGAGTGGGAACCGGGGATGGGAGGGGAATACGACGGAGGTGTTGTTGGGGTATGAGATTGGGGTGCCTCGGTGATGGATTGGGGATGTGGAGAGGTGTCTTCACGAGAGAGAAGAGTGATTGCTTGGGGTGTGCGCAGTAGCTGGTCCCAGCTGCATACTAGGTACCATTTAACAACGTCACCCTATATTACTTACAGACCATAGAAATGGCAAATGGACGACCACAACAGTGCCTACCATCTTGCCTTTGGAACTACACTTCATTCCCAAACCCATTGCTAGAATACAGTGTTAATCTATAGCATCAACTCCTCACAACACACATTACACCCACACTGAATATAAACCCCATAACCCCAAGTTCATGAATCATAACCATCACAAGAGAAACAAACCTCGCACATAAACTCCACCCAGAACAAACTCACTCATAAAACCCCTCAAACCCAACCCCGGGACAAACCCCCTCCACCCCACGCCTCCACGCCCCATACAACTCATTCCTCTCCCACCGAGCCCTCCCATCCTCCTCCGTCCCAAAAACCACATACCCAGGCCCAGTATCCCCCCAAGTATCCTCAGCAACCCCCCGAACCAACCCCCCAAACCCCCCATCCCGAACCTCCCGCCGCATCACATGCCCCCGCGCCTCCACCTGCCCCACGCTCCCCACCCGATTGACAGTGACCAGATACGCCCCGTCCCCGGGCAAGACCCGCTCCCGATCCGGGCGCAACGGCACCGCCATCCAGGCGGGATTATTGTACGAGTCGGGCCGGGCAGGATCGTGTTTGCCGGGGAGCGGGTGCGAGAGCAGCACGGCGTCGAGGTTGGTGACATCGGTGACGAGGCCCGGGGTCTGGAGGTAGAGGACGCTGTCGTAGTTGACGAATTGCATTTGGCCGTGGCGGAGGAGTTGGGTGTCTGTTGTTTGTGTGCCTGGTGGGGAGGAGGTGTCGATGGGGAGGAGCCAGATGCTGTTGGCGAGGGCGGCGGTGCGGAGGTGGGTTAGCGCTTGGGTTATGGTTGAGTGCTTGCTGGGGCTGGTGCTGGGGGGGTGGGAGGGTGGGGATGGGCCCGGGGCGTAGAGCTGGTCCCATTCGCGCGGGTACATGAAGAGTCGGTCTTGGATGCGGGTGCGGTTCGTTGGGTCTGTTGCTGCGGTTAGGCTGTGGAAGAAGAGGATCGCGCTGCAGATGTGGCTTGGGTCTGGGCGGGTGAGGAGCTGGAGGTAGGCGTAGGTGCCCTGAGAGGCGGGAATGGGGTCTTGGGTGATCGGTTTTTGTTGAGTTGGTGGGGTGTTGAGGAGGAGGGACTGGTCCTCGTTGAGAGGGGATAGCTCCGGCGCGCGGATGGCGTGTTGGATGTTGCGGACGGATTGTTGTTGGAGGACGTAGCCGGATAGGAAGAGGAGGAAGGTGAAGGTGCAGATGATGCCGGAGGAGATGATCACCGAGACGGTGGAGGAGGTGAGAAGGACCATTGCGATTGCGATTGCGATTGCAATTGCGATATCAACCACATGGGCTGGAGCGGAGGTATGTACAGTATGAAGTATGTGTACCTATGCTTGTTGATAATGCTAATGCGGGGGAGGAATGGTAGCGTTTGCACTGGAATGTGTATGCAGTCAAGAAAAGATAGAGTTATAATTAACCTTCCACCAGGCACATCCCTTTTCCCACTAAGTAGTAGGAGTACCCATAATCATTGCCTCATCGTCGATAGAATCATCGGCGCATAATATAAACACCGAGTTAGCTCATGTTTCAGAGGAAGAGTGATTTCGTTGTCCGCGCGACAATCGATAAGAAAGAAGGCTTGGCAAGGGAGCTCGTGCCAAGAACCAACTCCGAACATCCTCAACTTTCCACTTCCCTTCCTCTCCTCTCCTCTTCCCTGACGTCCCCCGCACTCTTTCCCTTTCCCTCTCCCTCTCCCTTCCCCTCATCTTGACTTCTCCAGAATCAAAAAGATGACTCACCGCGCCGACGCATCCTCCTTCCTCGACAACCGAGGCTACACCGGCCCGCTGATCCGCGGCGTCAACCCGGCGACGCTCTTCGAGAAGGCGGTCCGCGACCGCATCACCGACTCCTACTACTGGAAGGAGCAATGCTTCGGCCTGAACGCGGCCACCCTGTGCGACCGCGCCGTGGATCTCACCTGCATTGGCGGTGTGTACGGCGTGGCCGAGAAGCCCACCCCGTTCCTGTGCCTCGCCTTCAAGCTGCTCCAGCTCAACCCGGACCGCGACATCATCCTCGAGTATCTGAACTTCACCGATCCAGAAACAGAAGATCCCCCGACCTACAACAACCCCAACAGGAATAACGGCGGGAATCACGATGGGGGTGATGATGATGATGGAAGCGACGCGGTCGTCAAGGCGCGGGGCGACTTCAAGTACCTCCGCGCGCTGGCGGCGTTCTACGTGCGGCTGACCTTCCCCGCGGCGGACGTCTACAAGACCCTCGAGCCGCTGCTGCTGGATTACCGGAAGCTGAAGCGCCGGGTGCGCGACTCGTTCACCCTGACGTATGTGGATCAGTTTGTCGATGAGCTGTTGACCAAGGATCGTGTCTGTGGTACGAGTCTGTGGAAGTTGCCGCCGCGGCAGCAGTTGGAGGATTTGGAATTGTTGGACGAGCGGGTGAGTCCGCTGCAGGCGGAGTTGGAGGAGATGGAGAGGAGTGATGATGAGGACGACAAAGAGGAGGGTGAGGAGAAGGATGATTGAGGGAGGTCCTCTCTGATTGCTGTCATCGATGGATGCGCACGAAGGAAAGACTTTACACGCCTGGCTAGCTCTTGCAAGCTAAGTCGGCTGGCAGCCACGTGCGACTCGTATAGGTCACCAAATGGGTGCTCCGCGTTTAAGGAATCCTGGCAAAGCTAGCCTGTGGCCCAGGTGCATATCCTGTGTCAGTGGGCAGGAGATCGGTATCGACCCTACCCTAAGGCCTGGCCGTGAGGATCCGAGGGGTGAAACGCATCGCAAAGCCCTACGATCTACGCAACTGGGAGAAGCGCAAGTCAGAGCACTCGTTGGTCTTCGAGTCGACTACTCTGCTTCAATCAGCCAGCAGGGAGGCCTAATCTCAGCACCAAGTTCAGCCTTGCAACCAGGGAAGATACAAATTAATGGGCATTCAGAGATACCCAATTCTTAGTCTCACCTATATCCCAAGCTAAACAAAGAGAACCACCAACCAATACATACACAAAGGCCACCCAGCTTGACCACCAAATAGCTACGAGAACACTCTAAAACCCCTGCTGCCGATGCCACTTGTCCTGCCACCCCTTGAACCACGGACTATCCTCCAGAGTCGCCACCTCCCATCCCCTAGGAACCAGACCACTCTCCTCCTGCTCTTGGGCCCATTTCTCCAAGTTCGGCAGAACCACATGCTCTACATGCCACGTCCCCTTGTACTCCATCAGATTCTTCTTCCCGTGTTTCAGGACCGTCGCCGCGAGCGCGGGCACCCCCGGCTCGTCGCGGAACTCGGTGACGGGGGTGAACAGCGCCTTGAAGTTGAAGACCACGGCCGCCGACAGCGGCAGCCGCCGCAGCGTCTGCCAGTCGACGCGGAGGTTGCAGTCCTCCAATTTCAGGGTTGGGTCTTGGGACAGCCGCAATGCCTCGTGCGGATCGCCCTGCGGCATGTACAGGGGCTCGCCCACCTCCAGCCCCCAGGATCCGCGCTGGATCGGCTTATCGGCGGGCATCTTGGTGAAGAACCTACACCAAAAGTCAACATTAGCGATCTTCAAGCCCATATCCCCGCCGAGGCAACCAAAGAGAAACCCACCGATCCATCGAAAACCGCATCTTCTCCTTATAATCCGGAATCGTCGCATGGATCTCATGCAGCTGCATGCCGATCTTCTTGCCGACATTCCAGCCCAACGAGGAGCAGACGACGCCGGCCCGCAGGAAGTAGTAGCCGGTGGTCTCGTCGCGCAGCATGATGCCGAAATCCTCGGGGATGTGGTCGATGAGCACCTCGAGCGGGGGGCGGGCGGTGACGTCCTCGGCGACGCCGAGGATGCGGTTGTGGAGGATGCGGCGGTCCTCGAGGGCGAAATACTGCGGGTAGCGCGCGCACACGAACTGCAGCACCATCTCCATCAGCTCCTTGCAGGCCAGCTCGGCGCCCGGCAGCGCGCCCAGCACGCCGCTGCCGTGCTGCGCGTACAGGGCGCGGCGCTGCGCGATCCGCGCGCGGTACGTGCTCTCGAGCTCGATCCACCAGTCGGGTTCCATCTTCGTGAGCGCTGCGCCCCGTATCACCGGAGGGTTAGCGTTCATCCGCTCGTTCAACGGGAGGGACATACACATGGTCTGGTGGTACGCCCAGCGGAACGGCCGATAGGGCCGGGGCCGGGCCCGGTCGATGTCGAACTCCGGGTACGGCTGCGGCAGGGGCACGCCGCTGAGGGTCGCGTAGTCCGGGAAGTCGCCGAGGGCCTTGAGCTCGGCGACCGAGAAGCCCGTCGGGGTGTAGCGCCTGTCCGGGCTCGTTCGGTAGTCGGCCGTCATGGGCAGCATGTGCTGCTTGATTTCGGCCTCGTCGATGGGTTGGTAGGGGACGGCGAGAGGGAGCGCGGCCAGGGCCTGGCGGCGCGGCGGCGGCAGGGCGTCCACGTAGGACGGTCCCTCGCTGGAGGCGGCATGTTTCTCGTTCGACGCCGGCGAGGGTTGTCGTGTGCTGCTCCGGGCTGACCGTGTGGAGCTGCGCAGTCTATCCACCACAAGATACACCCCCGAGAGAGCGACCATGAAGAGGCCGAGCAGCCATAGATCGCTCTGGTCAAACATTGTTTCCACAGCTCAACCCCTTTGCCTCATCGGTAGTATTGTTTCAATAAATCCGGAGCTAGATTCTACCAGCGTTGTGTATCGCTACCTGCTATGTCGTAGAATAAACAAGGTAGACAGGGTAGACAGACAGTAAACCTCATCCCGGACGCACCGACAATATAAAGGTGCATCAACCATGGAGACAGAACACGCCCACTCCCGACCTCATATCACAGCCGAAGGGGGGGGGAAGGGGACATGTATGTATGTAACGAGCGACTCGTTTCGATCTACCGTTTTCGGTCAGACCGGGTAGTGAGTGGTGATCAGCGTGCAAAGGGCGTTTTACTGTGTTGGGTGCGCGAACGCAGAGATGATAAGGCGCGGGGGGGAGGCAGCACGGGCATGCATGACATCTTGGTCTGGTCTGGGTTGAGGTGCCCAGTGGATGTACAGTGGATGGTCGAGACAGGGCATGCAACCTGCGATGATTGGACTGTGGGAGGTGGCCATGAGATGATTTGCTGGTTGAGCTTTATCTTACAAGGTAGGTTATCTCTCTCCCTTTTACTGGATGTCTGGTCCAGTCTAGCATGTTACTGGAGGGGGATCAGACTGCTTATCAGCTCGACCTAGCGGTAGCTTCACCGCGAGACCGCAGCTCTATGCAGTGACTATACAGCCCTTGCACCACAGCCCAACGCACTTTTCACCTATCGAGCTCTCTCTCTCTCTCTCTCTCTCCATCCAGACAAGATAGGCAAGTACAGCAACCTCACACTCTTCTTCACCTCCCCTTCCATCGACCGAGTAACCCAGCATGGCCTTGCAGACAGACAGATAGACACCAAACCCGACTCCGCCGTTCTCATAGCGGAATGCGGGGAACCCCAACAAGATAGGCAGGCACCTCCATCCAGTACTAGGTAGTTATCGACCACCGCAGACCGCAAATCAAGCGAGACTCCTAGGATACCGCTTTTCTCAGATTGGCACAGAGTACAGTGCGTACATGGCCCAGGTTGGTGCCGTGCCGTGCCGTGCAGTGTCTGGATCAACTGGACCGAAGAGGAAAAACCGAGTCGTCAGGGCTGCGCCTCCGCATTTCCCGGAAGGGTAAAGCTATCCCGGCTTGAGGGTGGTGGGTGGTCATGTGCTAGGTAGGTTGCTGACTGGTGCGTGCAGCTGGACTGTACCGGACAGGCCACAGCGGATTGCACATTCGGGGCATATACATAAGTATACACTATGTAGCATAGCATAGCAAGGCATAGCAAGGCATAGCATGTTGTGACAATGGGTGGTTGTGAACTTGTGCAGTTAGAGGGAGACGTGGAAGGGTACGATGTATGTCCTGTCCTGTACAGTACAATCCACACGAGAACTAACTCCGTATACCACCATTACCACCACCACCACCACCACCACCACCACTACAACTCAACCCCCAGACACCCAAAACATTAATCTCCACCCCCCAAAGCACAAACAGCAGGAAACCAAATCTACCCCATATAACTCAACTCAACTCCCCAAACCACCACCAATCCCAGCCCCAACCAAACACAAATATTAGCAAGCAAGGCAAGACACGCCCAAACCTCAACAGTCAAACAACCCCGGCTACATATACAAACCAGAAATATTGCTATACCTACCCAAAAGAAAAAAAAAAAAAGTCATCTCGCAAACCACAGAGCGAGGAGCGGATCT